AGGTGAAAAACAGCTCCAGACTAGCTTTGAATGTGGTGATGTCATCAGTACGCTTCTGTTCCAATTGACCCAGATTTATTCTGTGTGCTCTCGTTCTCCCAGAGTCCAGACTTTCCTGGGTTCTTTTAAAGAACACACTTGGCGAGAACACGAATCCGTACTCGCGTTCTAGTGAATTGAGGTCATCAGGTAGGCTATGCTAACCCATATCTACCAGTAATACTAATAAATGGGATTCTGCAGCTGTACATGTGTAAGACGTTGGTCCCCATGGTGATAAAAAGCCTTAGGTTGTGGAAGTTGAAACAGAACTTGGAAGTTTGCTACTTTCAGGATTAGACAAACAATCTGAATTATTTAATTATTTAAATAATCATCAACTAATTAATTGATTAATCATCAACTGGAGTTTAGAGACTCTAAAACATGCCTTGAGCTGACAGAGCAACCCACTTGATTGTAAAAAATATATATAAAAATTTTGTCTTTAAGATAAAAAAAAAAAACAACAAAAAAAACATTTTCCTTTGTCAATCTGCTCTATAATCCAGAACCCCTCAAGCGGAAAAGTTTTGGTTTCCCCTGGTTTAATTTAGTAAAAATTCTTCTTAAAAGAACCTTTGGCTATCTGATTATTAACTGTTTAATCGAAAAAATGATCGTCAGATCAATAGATTTGCAAAATAATGGTTAGTATAAGTCCTAGATTCACAGAGAGACCTAAATGTGTGCCTATGAAGCAAAGATGAAAAAAAAAAACAAAAAAAAACACAAAAGTTTTATATCCTTCTTTTCTAAGAAACTTAACTCTGCTTCTAAGCACTAAAAGGTCCTTGGTGCTAATCCCAGCCTGGGGTCTGCATGTTCTTCCTCCCACAGAGGTGGGACAGTCCACGCTGCCCTGAGCTAGGACTGAGCAGGAGGTGGCTGCTAGTTCTTATGCTACGTTCAGACCGGACGCTGCAAAAGCAGCAAAATCGCGTCTGCTGCTTCATTTTTGCTGCTTGTACCAGTTAGTTCTGACGCGCGGCTGAAGCAGCTTTGCTGCTCTGCCTGCGCGGTGCAAAAGTGGCTCTGACGCGCGTTGGGCGGAGCTTCACTATCCTTTCTCTGCCTTGCAGCTATATTTGCTGTGATCAGTGGGAATAAAGTAGTTTTAATATGTTTTTAAGTGAGAAAATACACCTGAAAACTTCATCAGTGCAGTCAGTTCATCCAGATTACAATCCTGTCTCCCAATGTTATTTCTGTCGGAGCCGCTCAGACCCCCACATACCAGCGGTGCGCCGACAGAACGAATCCCTTCATCAGCAGCCTCTGGCCGGGTCGCCTCCTCGCGGTTTACGGCGGCGGCTGGTAGGTGTTTTTCATCTAAATAATCCGATCTGCAGGCACCAGAATAATAAAAGCGAAAATATTCTGCCGGCAGATGTATATATTTTAAGTTAATTATGCGTTAATAAACTGTTTAAGAGGAGTAATCAGAGCGGTCTGTGTCATCAGCGCTGTGTCTCTCTCCCAGCCAGCTCCCAGATCAGCTTCTCTGATTGGTTGACGCGGCGCGTGGAGCAGCAAAAATTCAATTTTTCCATCTCGAGCAGCAGCGCGTTTGCGGCGCGTCAGATGCTTAAACGCGCCCGACGCGCTGCTTCAGCTGCTCAGACGCGCTGCGCCTGCTGCTCAAAACGCGCCGCGGGACCTTTTGCTGCGCCTTGACGCGCGTCAACCATTGACTTTGCATGTAAACTCGCTGCTTCTGTCGCGCTAGCTGCCCTCGGTGTGAACGCAGCATAAGGCTGGTCAAGCTAGCAGGGGATGCTGCAAGGTTCAAATTTGCCTGTCGCCGTTTTCCCCTCCTGTAGCTCCTAAACTGCTACTTTCAGTTTAAAGCTTTACAGTAATGTGAAGTATTCTCTGCTACCGTTTGGTTGTCAATAACATTTTCTATTAAACCAAAAGTAAAATGCAATATAAGCATTATCTATTTAAAGTAGCAAGGACTGGACAACTTTAACAAAACTTCTATTATGATTAACTTAATTTAGGTTGACTCATAATTTCAGTATCAGCATAAAAGCCTCAGAAGAGCTGCTAAGAAAGCCGACAGCAGATGTCTGTAAACTTCTAAAAACTGTTTGCAGAGTCTATGAAACTCCTCCCCTGCAACATTTTAGAAATATTTGTTTTATAAAGCATAAAACTGTTTTTATGTGCAGCTAAAAGCTAAACAGAGGTTTGAACAGGTGATTAATCCCCCCAATTCATCATTCTCAGTTCAAGTCCAAACTGAGTAGACAAACACACCTAAAACTAAAAGACGATGTTCCCAAATAACAGTAAATTAGACAAACTACACCCAACTAGCTCTGAACATACGAAGTAGGGCTCCAACTAACGATTATTTAGCAAATTGATCAAATTGTTGATTACTTTTACAATTAACTGATTAATATTTGAATAGCCAAAGTTTCATTAAATATTATTTTTTTCCTTAAATGCAAAATGTTTATATATTTTTACTATCTTGGTATAATTCCTGCTCTAAGTGAGTCACTGTCAGCTAAAGGCACGTTTTAGTCTCTATACTCCAGTTAATGATTAATAATCGGATAGCCAAAGGTTCCTTAAAGAAGACATTTTACCAAATCAAACCAGGTGAAACTAAAACTAGTGCAGATCGATGGATGAAAGATGAGGTTTTTTTTTTTATTAAATGCAAATTGTTAATATATATTTTTTTTACAATCTTGGTATAATTCCTGCTTTAAGTGGGTCGCTCTGTCAGCTAAAGGCACGTTTTAGAATCTCGATACTCCAGTTAACGGTTAATCTATTACTAAATTTGTTCACAAGTATCTCAATAATCAAATAATCGGGATTAATGTGATTCATTGCTTCAGCCCTAATATGAAGGAAAATATTTGACTCTGGATGAACCCTGTTGACAGCACTTTCCAGGGAGGATTTTTTTTCTCCTCCTGCTTAGATTTCTCCTCTTGTCCCTCATTCCTCCCACTGCTACCTCATTCTATGCTTTTTCTTCTTCTGTTCCTCATTAAAAAATTGCTTTATTTCACTCTTCTCTCCTTAAATGAAAAAAAAAAAAAAAGGATCCCAAACCCATTTTTTAAACAGAGAACATGAACATCATGCTACATTTCCTAGCACGAGTCAGACCTTTATCACAGCCCAGATCAGCATGTTCAAAACAAACTGAATCAGTGATATCACAGGATGGCTCCCTGTCAGTACACTCCGATCTTTCACGTCCTCATTTTATGGCCTGTACCCACAATTTTCTCCTCCAATTCCACTTAGTAACATTTGAACATTTGCTTTCTACAGACAGCACCACAGCGCTATGTTTCTCAATAAGCAGATGCTTAAATCGGACATTTCTAGTGATGACATTTGCAGGGCCAACAAACACTGCAGCATCTTCAATGGGAGTGTTAATCGACACAGAGCTCACCAAACAGTGAACTGTCAATGCCTACCTGTAAATATATCAGAGTCCAGATCGTGGAGCTCAGGTTAAAACGAGATTTTTCCAAGTCTTTGGAAGTTGTGGCCCATTCCAGGAGAGCCAAACGGGACGGGCAGAAAGACAGACACTGGACCAAAAAGCAAAACAAATCGGAGCACACCTGTGAGAGAAGACAGAATCACTTAGACTTTATTGTCATTTTGAGCACACATGGTGTATACAAAACGAGATTTCGTTCAGTACAGCTATCAAGACATTCCCCTTTTTAAAGTGCTGCAGTGATAAAATGTAAAAATAAGACTAGTACATGATTTAAAGTCAGAGTCATCTGACAGATTCCCATCCTCACCATCAATATCACATCCTGAGGCACAAATAATAAACTGTAAAGAAAGCAACAGCACCCCATACAGGAAGACAAAAACAAAGCCAGAATACCGGTTTCTATTTATGCTGAATTGTTTCCAACACTTTACTTTAAACCTTTGAGGTGGAACATTAAGAACTTACCGGTTCATAGACCCTTACAGAGTAAATGAAACTGATCGAGCTGGTAAGACGTGCTCTAATCAGAGCTGTTTACATGCTGACCTGAAGTGGACAACATCCGCTTTGCGGAAATGAAGTTCACCTAAACGGATCAGCTCATTTTCCTTCCAGAGCCTGACTTATAAATCAGCTGGATGATAACCCTGAGATGATTGAATGAGACAAACCGCGGAGGACCGTGACTTATATCACGGCACCGCTAAATCAGGCAGCAGGAAGAGCTTCCTGATATAAATGGAGTTAGCTAGCATTAAGCTAACAGTTTGGACAGACCTAAAATACATCCCGGCGTCTAACATGAGGCGCTAATGACAGCGGAGCTTCAACCGGCTCAGGCTAACGAACCCGAGTACAGTAGGCTAACGGGGAGGAAGAAGGACCAGTTAGCCCATTCCTTCCAGCTTCACTCATTTCATCTCATTACATGTTCCGGTTCCAATATAATACCATGATATTATCATGACGTTATCCCCACATCAGTCCGAGCTGTGAAATGTTATCTAATGAGCCATACTTGACATGGAAGCAAAATCTGTTTGGAGCTAGCCAGCCAACGATAGCCGGTTATCTGAAGGCTGCTCGCTAACCGTCTGCAGGCGGAGGGACACTTACCGACTGGCAGCTGAAAACGGCGACTCTAGAGGATGGAGCTTATCCCGCCATCAGCACGGAGCCTTACCGATACAAATCTGGAAACAATATTTAATTCCTGAATGGGAAATAATGCGCTGAAACTGATTGTAACGGGCGCGAAAAGGTAAATGATCGAACTGTACTTTTCAAGATGGCGGTTCCGCCAACTTCATCGACACCCCTCCCCCACCACAGCTGAAACGTTTGTCAGCAGGTTCCCCAAGCAGCGAGCCTATTGGTTCACATCCACGTCAATCAAACCGGGCCCAAGGCTGTCATTGGTCAGAGGTCCCGCTGCTTCCGGGCGTCATTTTATCGCATTATTTAGATTCGGTGGCCATGACGATCGGTTCAATGTTTCACCAGTTTTTTTTTTTGTTTTTTTTTTCAACTGCAGCAGTAATAAAAGAACAGAAGACATCAAATTACCGTTTTTATTTTATGCTAGATTATCGTGATTTTGATAGAGTGAGTTAATCTTGATTGGCTTGTTTTGAATTTTAAACCAGACTTTATACCACATGTTCAACACTAATTTAGAATCTCACCCTTTCAATTATCACTTTTATTATCATAAATCATTATTAAAGGCTTCAAAACGTTTCAATTTTCGTTATTTTCTTTTGAAAAAAAAAATATTATTAATATCTCCAATTTCTGTTGGGAAAACTTTATATTTTGGGTTAAAAAAGTAACAAAAGCAATTAATAACGTAAAGCATGAATAAATGCATTCGACATTTGTTTTATAAATCAGTAATGACAGCATCGGCTAGGGGTTCATCACATTTTTTGCTGAATCATTATTAATTGCAGGAACGTCGACATTTTTTTTTTACTATTATTTTTTTTTTGAAATATTTTTTACAGCCAAAATAGATACAGTGTAATATAAAATATGGATTTATTTACAAAAACAAAACACAAGAAGGAAAAATAACGTAGTCTTGCTATAAAGGGTTATTCACATAAACATTCAAATACAACCAAATAAATAAAAAGAAAATTATGATAAACAATTATAAAATAAACACAATTATATAAAATAAAATTACAAAAAGCAAGTATAAAATAAGGGGAGAATTCAGTCCTTGTTTCGCTGTTTATTTTTGTTGGGAAGTGTTTTAGGAAATGCAAATAGAAAAAATAACCCAGTAGTTTGTTTTCCGTTTTCCGTCTTTCCCAGGGTCTTTAAACGCAGCACTTGATTTGAGCAAATCCTGTTTGTTCTAATCGCATCTGATGGATCCAGGATGCAGACATCATGCTGTCATTGGTCAGCCCTGTCAGCCAGTAGCCTCTAATATAATCTGCAGCCTGACGGACCAAGCAGGACCGCATCCAGCTCTGACAGCGGCTCGGTTCTCCCATCACAGCACCGGCATGGATTTACCTGGGATTATAGAGCAAATGGAGGCAGGAGAGCAAGACAGGGCCCTGGTGGTGTTACAGAGCTTCAACAAAGAGGTAAAACACGGTCCAGCTGGCAGCAGGTCTTCAGCTGCTTGTAGAAGTTCCTTAAATATCGTTTCAGAGGAAAAAGCTGCAAAATGAAACATTGAGCATGAAGGCAACACATTTTAAACCCAGCTCAGCTGTTCCAGGAACAGTTTGCTCATGTAGTGCAGTCTCCCATCTGTGATGGTGGAAGTTTAACAGAACCGACACCTTCACTGGGCTGATGGAGCCATTGATAGATCCTTTGGGTTTGCAGGAGGTTGTGTGGGTTCCTCCTGGTTATGCCTTCCTGATAGGGGAAAAAATCGATTTGGTGATATATCGTGATTTTGCGCTGTCTGATGCAATATCGATCTTTTAGTTGTTAGTATCGATTTTTTAAAGGAAAAGTCAGCTCATATTCAGAATACCAACTTCTAAAAATACTTTAAATATGAAATTATTCCATCCTGTTCAATAAATGATCAGTGTTTTTAATTCAGAGAAATTTTCATGTGAATGTGCTTTACTGGAGGCATCCATGTTTGTCAAAGAAC